AAGCTTCACTACTTCGTGTTTGAGCACAACGTTGCCGGATGAGGCCGTCTCGTTGAGGCTGACTGTCAACGAAGAGCGAGAAGATTGGAGAGTGGAGAAGAGAGAGTGACGGAGATGAGAGAAGGTAGAGATAGTGAGAAGAGAGAAAAAAGGAGGAGGAAAATTAAAATGAAATTGATTAGGGTTTAGAATTAAAATTGTACAATTAATATTTAATATTTAAAATAAAATGTATGATTTTTGAAATTGAATCTTTAAAAATCTGATTTTGTATCATTTCCTCAAAGGGTAATTAGGATTATAGGTCTTTAGAATTTTTAACATTAAGTGGAGGCTATTTAACAAAAAATTTGCTTGACTAAGCATTTTAATCAAATCCCCCCCATAACCCCCTAGTAAATATTTCACTTTTTAGAAAAATTGCATTGTTCATTCTTTATCTATTAGTTTGCAAGCTGATTCTCAACCATTTTGATCCGTAACCTTATATTGTAGTCGAGAAATTAATCTCAAATGACAGACTGTCCAATTTTATAGAATTGTCACAACCCAATAGAAATATGCATCACATTAAATTTCTAAATATGAAAGCACCATAAGTTTGCAAATAAACGTAATTTCAGATAGTTAGACATACATAGGCGACATAACGATTTAGCAGATATTTGAAAGGTTTCCCATTAACGAAAACTGATTATGCAACTATGATGACAAATTGATATCGAGTCGCTTCCTTTAAAGATTGTGAGCAACATTGCTATTCTAATTAATATTGTGAGGACCAATAATGCAATTTTATCTCAACTTTGTTGCTTTGGTGCTCTGATAGGTGGCATTATGAATACAGCAACAAAAGGATATGTTTGGTGAACCTTAAATTTATTAAAAGTAAGACTAAATTACAATTTTAAAAGAAGAAATATGACATGTCTCTAATGGTAATCTTATAAAATTATCAAATATCACATTAGCACGTCGAGATTCATGAAAAAACAAAGAGAATTTTGCATTTTTTCTCGTGAAATCTTCATGCT